ATGTATTTGAATGGCAGTTTGCTTAAATTAAAGTTTAAATTAAGTTTATATATATACATACATATATATAAAATTGGATTTGATTATTTACTACCTTAAACTGTTTTATTTGGTAATGCGCCCCAGTATGCGCCGTGTCATTAAGAAATATTGAACTCACTGTTTTACTACTTATTGTTTCATGTTTTATTTGCACTGGTGGTGTTGTGTTTGTAGCACTTTAAGTTATAGATCCTTCATTGAGTGTCACTCTCATGTGCTTGATATTAAGGATAACATTAATAGAAAGCTGCTTGTTTTGTGAGCTGTGTTTTATACATCACTACACTATTGACCGTAAACTTCAAACATTTTTAACTGTGAAATTTCGCTAATATGACACACCTTTAGTTATCTAGTAGACATGACAGAATTTATTTAAATTCATCCAATATGACTAGATCAAATCTACTGTAAGTCAGATGTATAAACTCAATAACCCCAATTCTTACCTATGTGGTACATGCCAATCCAGTCTGTAGCATCCACCTCTTCCTTGATATCCCATGTGATGACCAAGTTCTGGCCCCGGCCCAGAGTGAACTCTAAAGTAGAAGCCGTGAGTGAGGATCGCCCTTGAGAACTGACCAGGTCCGTATCGCTGTTGGCTCTGGGGAGTCCAACTCCAGCCTGCTCAGCTCCACCGCGCTCGGCTAAGCTCCGAAGATTCTCTGGGCTGAGCGTGTGCCGCACATTTGGGCTCCGTCTACGGCCTGCAGACTCCCGTGTGGCCAGGTGATCCCGCCCCTGAGGCGCCATGCCTGACGCCGGGCCGGAGCGGGGCCTGGACGGGAGAACTGCTGTGGCGAGAGAGGGGCGAATGGTGGCAACTGTGTGGGAGCACGTCTATGGACTGGGTGAGTTTGAGGAAAAAGCCAGAACGATGGATAACCCTGACCTGAATCCTGGATCAGACCTGGGCTGACCTGTAATAGTCTGGACATACAGGTGAAAGACCAGATAGGCCTGTTGTCTGCTAGAGCACTTGGCTGTGGTAATGGTTATTGACCTTGACGATTCGAGAATAAGGTATTTAATTAATCTTTAACGAATCTAAAAGAGCTTAGTTGTTTCCATTGATTAGTCAGTGGGATCCAGCTAGCAAGCACAAT